TATAGAATAGACTATAGTCGAGACTATAGAATAGACTATAGTCGAGACTATAGAATAGACTATAGTTGAGACTATAGAATAGACTATAGTCGAGACTATAGAATAGACTATAGTCGAGACTATAGAGTAAACTATAGTCGGGACTATAGAATAGACTATAGTCGAGACTATAGAATAGACTGTAGCCGAAACTACAGAATAGACTATATATCCTCGAGACTGTAGGATAGATTACACTCGAGACTACAGAATAGACTATAGTATTGAATATAGACGAGACTATAGAATAAACTATAGTAGAGACTGTAAAATAGTCTATAGTCGAGTCTATAGAACGGACTACAGCCAGGACTATAGAGTCCTGAGGCTATATAAAATAGACTTTAGTCTAGACTATAGATTAGTCTAGATATTTTAAAAAGCTCTCTTCATTTTACATAAACCAGAGTTTATTTCTTATACTCAGACAATACTTAAGCTTTGTGTCGTAAATAATACGTAATGCTGAAAGGGTCGTATAATTATGGATCGTTTTGAGATTAATTTGGAGTTCTCACAAGATTCATAAAAGCTCTTACTAACATAACTCAAAAGACTAATATGTCAAGATGTTTAGATCGTTTTATAATTGCCAGCAGGTATTTCATCATAATAGAAAATTTTATATTAACACGTTTAGAAATTTATTAAGCCAACAACTTCTAATCGACTTTAAACAGAGTCATAAACGATCGTCTTATCTCATCACCTTAAGTAAATTTTCAGCAGAACCTTTATATTTTATCAGGATTTATTAAAAGTGCAAATAATTGTTTGTATTATAAAATAAAAAAAAACTTCTATTTGTTCCTTAACACTAAAACCTAACGAATTTTTATTAGCGGCAATAATTTAAATTTTTTTTTCTTATTTTAATTATTAAATGTGTATTAATAACTATAATTGACGAAAAGATTTCTTTTATGTACATGACATTATATGAATTTTATTTTGACTACAAAATTAGCGGAATAAAATGTCGCTTTTTAATTTTTATTGGAAGTCATATATGAAACAAAAATACTTAATAATAATTTTATGACTTTAATAAACATCCACACTCGAGTACAAAAGACGTACATGTATGTATGTAATACTCCTAAATTTGTATTTATATTAACGGCGAATATAACGTCTTTGTACAGAGATAACAGTTCAAAAAAAAAAAGCAATTGGAATTATTTGACAAAGCGATAATAGAGTTTTAAATGTTGCAAGATATCAATGTTATTTTTTGATATTTGTCAAAGTGTCAACCTTTATTTCAGTACTGATATTATTATTTTTTTTTTTATTATTAATCTAATCGCAAAAATAGAGAAAATAATGTTTTATGACCGCGCCTATTTAATGGTCAGATATGAATAAAATGTTTGGATGTAGGTTTGGTTCCAGTTACCACTTTGTCTAGAGGGAAGTGAGAAGGGTGATGTGTAGAAATATTTTTTAAATGCAAGTGCACGAAATATATAAATTTCGAATATTGGAAAATGTCTCGATGTCAGCAATATTGATCATTCTATGGATCACTTTATTGATCAGTTTATAAACGTGTCTGTTGATCAGTCACTTTATTAGTCTGTAGATTTATCTTTAGATTAGTCAAAGGACCGGTTTAAAGATAAATTTATAGAGTAGTCTGTAGATCAGTCTATAGATCAGTCTATAGACCAATCTATAGACAAGTCTATAGATCAGCCTATAGATCAGTCTATGGATAAGTCTATGGACCAGTCTGTAGACCAGCCTAGTCTGTAGACTAGTCTTTAGATCAACCTATAGATCAATATATAGACCAGTCTATAGATTAGTCTGTAGATCAGTCTATATATTAGTATATAGATCAGTCTATAAACCAGTCTATAGATCAGTCTATAGATCAGCCTATAGATCAGTCTATGGATAAGTCTATGGACCAGTCTATAGACCAGCCTAGTCTGTAGACTAGTCTTTAGATCAATATATAGACCAGTCTATAGATAAGTCTGTAGATCAGTCTATATATTAGTCTATAGATCAGTCTATAAACCAGTCTATAGACCGGTCTATAGATCAGTCTATAGACGAGTCTATAGATCAGTCTATAGACGAGTCTATAGATCAGTCTATAGACGAATCTATAGATCAGTCTATAGACGAGTCTATAGATCAGTCTATAGATCACTCTATAGATCAGTCTATAGACCAGTCTATAGATCAGTCTATAGATTAGTCTATAGATCAGTCTATAGATCAGTCTATAGATCAGTCTATAGATCAGTCTATGGATCAGTCTATGGATCAGTCTATAGATCAGCCTATAGACCATTCTATAGATCAGCCTATAGACCATTCTATAGATCAGCCTATAGACCAGTCTATAGATCAGTCTATAGACCAGTCTATAGATCAGTTTATAGATCAGTGTATAGATCAGGGTATAGATCAGTCTATAGATCAGTCTATAGACCAGTCTATAGATCAGTCTATAGTTCAGTCTATAGAACCATCCATAGATCAATCTATAGATCATTACACAGAATAGTTTATATTATTGTTTCAAATTCTGTTTTATTTTTAAAACTATTAGTCAACATCTCAAATCCAAAGAAATAACTATAAATCACAAATCAATTTAAAACAAATGTCATAAATGTCAAACTCTAACACTAAAGCTGTTAATGCAAAACAAACCCCTTTTTTATTATTACTACTACTACTACCAGCGATACTTTTGTTTTAACATTTCTTCAGTTTAATATCAAAAATCATTAAGAAAATATTCAAATAATAAATTAATTTTCATGTTGGATTAAACATAAAAAGCAATCATAAACTTTAATTGCAATACCTCGGATTTTATGGACTTTAAAGTAAAAAACAACAAACAAACAAACCACAAAAAATAACAGCTAAAAATATCAATACAATTGAAAGATAAACAACCCAAAAAAAAAAAACATAAACTTAAAAAAAGGAATATTAAAAGTTAAAAGTTATAAATAGTAAATGTCTTTAACAAATCAAAATTTTTTTTGACTGAATTTGATGATCGAAAAAACAAATATTTACATTTTTTCGTAATAAAATATCGAACGACAAATCTTTATAAACCTTTGCTTGTTTTTGAATTTTAACGTTTTGTTGTTTATTCAAATGATTTATTAGTTGAAAATTAGTCAATTTTATTGAAGAATCTTTAAATAGGGAATATTTGGAATTGTACAAGGGAATCAAAACTGTTTTATCTTTGCAGCACGAGTAACTTAAAGTTCTACATATATACATTCCAAAAATTGTTGGAGGATTTTCTTAATTTAGAATATTTTATATATTTGTTTATTTGTTTGGCTTAAGATAATTTGCTAGAGTATATTATTTTTTTTATAAGATCTTAAAAAGATTATGAAGATTAGACCGTGCAAAATTATAGATAAAACATTTTTTTTATAACTTATATATAAATATGGAAATTTTCCATTTGTTTATATTGAAATCTTTTTAAATATCTTTATCTTTTAGAAAGAAGTTGCTCAAAATCGGGCCAAAACGTAGAACCTTATAGGAAACCCTAAACATAAAGACTTAACTAGAACTGGTATCAAAAAGAGCTAATTCAGTTTCAAAAATCTAAATCTAATCAGAGCAGTCCTATTACTGGCTTTTCTAATTTAGAGGCCAATTTTTAACACTTTTTATACTCTACACAAAAAAATACCGATCGATTCAGAATCACGTTTTGAGTCGATTTAAAGTACAACACCCAATTTTACTTAGCCTAAGTCTATTGAAATTGGTTGTAATGGGTCCATTATTTCAGCTAGACTCGATACAACAGAACGCCCTGAGTAGGAGAATTGGCCTCATAATTATGTTAAATATACTAGTATCTCGACAAAAGTCGGCAAAACTAAGTTGTGAACTAGCCTTGATTTGTCCAAGTCCGCCGATTTGTGTAATGATCGGGCTTTATTTGACCCTAAACAACATACAAAGTTTCCCTTCAGAAAATGTCTTGAACAGCTGCAATTCACTTGTAAATACTAGTATCACGGTGACATTCGGAAGAAATAACATAAATCCTGCCACTAAATTTGGAAAGAATCGGCCCAAATTTGCCCTTTGCCCTTAAAACATACCGATCAATACAGAATCACTTTCTGAGTCGATTCAAAGTACACAAATTTTCAAATTAATTTTATGAAATTTGGTGCAAATGTTATTTTAACTCAGGAACTAATCCTATTGAAATTGGTTGAAATCGGTCCATTATTTTAGCAGTACTCCATGCAACAAAACGCCCCAAATATAACTTTTGATCTTATAATTATGTTAAAAATACCAGTATCTTGAAAAAAAAGTTGTATACAAACTTGATCACCCTGCCGATTTTTGTAATGATCGGGCTTCCGCCTTCAGAAAATGACTTAAGAAAAACTCAAGTGAAATTAAGATTTTTCCTTTAGAAATTCATAAAACATGATCTTTTAGAGAAAATTGATATTTTTCAGTGCAATTTTCGTCAATTACTGGAATACTTTGGTAATGTTAATGGATATGACTTTTAATTATGAATAGATAATACTTTTAAAACTGGCACTAATAAGAACATATCAAATGTTACAAATGTGAAAGTAATATAGGGTGATCATGTTATAATTGTAATCGGAAATATTCTAAAAATGCTGTACTATATTTGTAGGATCTTTGGACCGGGCTAACGCAATACAGAAGTCACAACGAATTCATAATTAGAGGTTTTAAAAGATAAGTTTGTTATAATTTTTACACGATTTCGATATTTTGGAAGTAATTTTTAAACTAACGTATTCTAAAAGACGAAGGCCCATATTGTACCGACAGTTTTTATAAATATTCGTAATTATGGGTGCACAATTTTCAAAATTACTTTTCAAATTAAAGTTTATAAATAATAAACAAATAATGAACATTAAATATTAAACAAAAAAAAAAACACTTACCGGGAGCTGGTTGAGCCGGATACGATGGCTTTTTCATCCATTCATAGTACTGATGCGACTTAATCGGCGACGAACGATGATTATTATTAATTGTGGTATTATTGTTGTTATTATTGTTATTAGCAGTTGAAGGACTATTATTATTGTTACTCAAATGATGAGCAATATGATGGGGTGATGAAGAAGATGCTGGTGCACCTGGGCTAGATATTTCACTACCACTAACTGTTATCGGTGGCGAAGGTAAACCTTCGGTAATGTGAGGTGGTTGTTGTGATGACTGCTGTTGATGCTGTTGTTGTTGTTGTTGATCACCAATACTGCTGACAGTTTCATTCAATTGTGTACTACCCGAAGCGGGGCCAGCCGATGTTGTAGTGGAACTGCCTGACGAAGAGGAAGGTGTAGAACCATTAGCCACAGCCGAACCATTAAGTAATTGATGTTGTTGTTGCAGCATTTGAGCATTTTGAGCGAAATTCTCGGCTGAGGAGGGAGAATGCCATTCGGAGGCAGCGGCGGCAGCATTGGAGGCTGAATGGAACATGGCATGAGGATTGTAATACATTTGATGATGGGCAGCATGAGGAGAATCCATATCACCCAGATATTGATGATTGGGTGGTGTATGATAGTTGGCAGTCCATTGCCAAGGCTGACCAGCTGAATAGGCCAAATTGGCAGCACTGTGTTTTTGAGGATAGGACAGGGTATTGTAATAGGAGACCATTTTTAAAGGGTTTTTTTTTTGTAATTTAAGGGTAAATAATTGATAATTTCTTTATTAATAATTTGAGGTTAGAAACGATTTTTAGAAAATCGTTTTGTTTTTGTTTTGTATTTATTTATAATAACACTGGTTTTAGGTTTTAATTCATAGATAATTAAAAATATTTTTTTTTTTTTTAATTTCTTTAAATTATTTTTTATAGTTTATGTTTAACATTTTCTTGTTTTTTAACATTAATTTATTTCAAAACTTTTTGCGTTTACTTTTTTTTGTTTTTGCACGCGTTGTTGTCTTATTATTTTTGTTCTTTTATTACTGCCGTTATATTGTTGACAATTGACTTAATGACAGATCAATATTGTTGATTGTTGATTATTGCACTCACTTTATTTTTGTAAAAAATTTACACACTCTCTTTTCTTAAACTGTTTAAAACTTTGTTCTGTTAATCCAATAATAATTCCAATTATTTGTTTCTCTTAATTAAGAGTACTTTTTCTAAATGGCAAATTATTTATTATTAATTTTATTGTAATTTGTTTATAATGATTGCGACAATTCACAATAATGTTTAGGCCTCAAGTGATTTTTTTTTTAGAAATTGTGATGGCAATTGCTTAATTATGTTTTATTTTATATATGTTGATTATATATTTCTTTATAACACTATAACATTAAGCGTTAAAGTTTTAAATATATCACCGTCGTAATTAAATGAATTGTTTGAAATAAAAGCGTTAAAAGTGACGACTACAACGACAACGTAAGCGAACGACGACTGTAACACACTTGTTTGCGTATCATAAAATACTGTGAATAGAAACTGAAATTGTTTACAAAATACTAGTTGTGACGACGACGACGACAACGTTGAAGTTTTATTATGAGTTTACCCAACCGATAGCCGTCTAACGTTGTTAACTTTAGCGTTCTGACTGAAAATGTTGCGCTGATAAAAACTCGTAAACTAATATGAAACAAAACGAATACAAAGAAAAACCCTAGTCAGTCGTTTAACAAAAACAAAAAAACACCCACTTATCGTCAACATTGCCTGCTAGCGTTAAAATGAAACAAATAATCATTAAACCTTCTCTTTCAGTCTTAACTGCCATCGAAAACTAAAAACATGTGTTTATCTTTTCAAAATTTAACCCTCTAGTTTAAAACTCCGCCTTTTTGTAGTTAACTATCACAAATTCAAGATGGCTTTTGTTTTGTGTGTGTGTGTGTCTGTTCTCTCTTTTCCTCTTCCCTTACAAAAAGGAAACTCATACAACTGATGTCTTGTTATTTAAACTCCTCCCTGTATTTGCGTTTTAATCAAATGGTGGGGGTTTTCACAATTCCCAAATGTTACGTTTAAATGCTTGTTTTAGTTATTAATACACCTTAGTCTAAAGGTAATTTTTGTTTATTTGCAATTAGTCTAATAACAGGTAGAATCCCAAATAGGCGTGCCTATCATTATTTTAGTCAAACATTTTAAATTAGAGTGTTTTGTTTTTTTTTTTAGTTCATTTCATTGTTTTGTTTGTATTTATTATGTTTTATTTTACATATGTATGTATACATAGAGGTCTTTGTTGGTACTTGGTAATTATTTACTAGGACATTATGTAATTAAAGGTCATAAAAGTGTGCATGCGCGCAAGTTATTTTCTACACGCTATTTACATATTTTACATATACATAAATATCTAGTCCTATAAGTACACAGTGTAGTTCATAACATCATTTTAGGGTAATATGTAATTTGCAAAAATCTTATGACAATAATATTATTGTAAATTATAAAATTATAGCTTTGGTTAATTTTTACCTTACCATCTCCAATTTTGAAGAAACTCGGTACATACATTCTGTGTATAAATATTTTTCATAACAGTTTAGATTTTATCGTTATTCAAAATTCATATTTTTTAAGATTTTTTTTCAACGATTTTAATCGTTGTAGTTCCTAATTAAAGTCTATGTCTTGTAGTTTAACAATACTTTTGAAATGCCCCTATTGAATAAAACTTTATTTCCAAGGTAAAAACTAGAAACAAAGTTCAGAAGGAATCATTGAACTCCTTCGATTAAGTTAAGACTCAAAGTATATCAACGGCAATTTATTGGCGATTGAGTGATTTTCATATATATTTCCTCCTATTGAACGAAATATGAGCGTATAGTTGACCGATCATTGATTTGCAAATATAAGCGAATCCTCATGAAATTTAGACAATAAATTTATGTTCATACATATATTTTTTAAGCTTTTCAAAGCGATAGTAATATTTTAAGTGTATCGTAAGTATTAAAGCATTTTTAGAAAGGTACTTTTTATGGGGACTTTGGCTGATTTTATACCGATCATTACGAAAATTAGCAGTATTATTTAAACATAAATAAAACTTAGTTGTGACGATTTTTGTAGAGATAAACATATATTTAACATAATTATGAGCTCTAAAGTCACATTCGCAAGGTCTGCTTGTATAGGGTATAGCTGAAATAATGGACCAACAAATTTTAACTCGTATAGTAGTGGACCCAAAAGAAAAATTTTTTCCAAATTCCATTAAATTATCCTTAAAATTGCTACCTATCCCAGCAAAAAAAGAATTTACTCCATGGAAGTACTGAAAAAGACCTGATTATACCCTACACCACTTTAGTGGGGAGGGTATATTGGGTTTGTGCTGATGTTTGTAACGCACAATAATATTGGTCCTATACCCACCTTAAAGTATACCAATCGGCTCAGAATCATTTTCTGAGTCGATTTAGCTATGTCCGTCCGTCCATGTAAACCTTGTAATCAAACTACAGATCGCAATTTTGATGATAATTCAATGAAATTTGATACATGATCTTCCATTGTCCCAGGGACGAAGCCTATTGAAAATGGTTGAGATCGGTCCATTATTTCACCTAGCCCCCCTACAACTGAACCCCCCAATAGGGCTTGTAATCCTTGTAATCAAACTACAGGTCGCAATTTTGAAGATAATTCAATGAAATTTGGTACATGATCTTCTATTTTCCCAGGGACGAAGCCTATTGAAAATGGTTAACATCGGTCCATTATTTCACCTAGCCCCCATTTGGAGATAATTCAATGAAATTTGGCACATGATCTTTTATGGTACCGTAGACGAAGCCTATTGAAAATGGTTACCATCGGTCCATTATTTCACCTAGCCCCCATACAACTGAACCCCCGAATAGGGCTTTTAAAACTTGTAATCAAACTACAGGTCGCAATTTTGGAGATAATTCAATGAAATTTGTCACATGATCTTTTATGGTACCGTAGATAAAGTCTGTTGAAAATGGTTTACATCGGTCCATTATTTCACCTAGCCCCCATACAACTGAACCCGCCCAATAGGGCTTTTAAGTTCATAATTATGTTTAATATACTCATATCTCGACAAAAAGCTGCAATAACCAAGTTGTATACAAGACTTGATGACCCCCACGAATTCCATAATAATAGGTTCTCATATGACCCTAGCCCCAATGAAAAGCCCCCATTAAAATTTCACTTAAATGTCCACAATTTTAGTCAACAATAAACGCCCAGTAAAAACTTTCATTACCATGTAAGGGGTTAAAATGCTAAAATTTACTTACACAATAGCATTTTAAGTCATTATTTTAACAGGGTGATGTCATTGAAAAAACGTATACAGCTTCTATATCTTTACTGGCAAGATGACTAATGAATTAGAAAGTATTTATATAATACATTATTAGTAAGACCTTATTAGACCACTTCTATGTAATCCAGGCGATATGTAGTAGTCATTGAAAAGTATGTTGTTAGGTAAGTAATTACAATTGAAAGCTATTACCCAGTTTTTGCTGGGCGGCTTAAGTATGTATATCTAAGGCAAGGTACAATTCAACTTAAATGCTTTATTATGGCAACTAAATCACATTATATTTTTGTCAAAGGTGTAGGGTATTATATGGTCGGCCTCGCCCGACTATAATTTCTTACTTGTTTTAATACAGGCTTATCATAGGAGGGATATCCTTTTTATTGGATTCCAAATTCACTACATTTGAAGTCATTTTCATGAAGTAATTTTTATGCTCTTTTTAGGAAGTTATTCGGAAGTGAAATTGTAGTATTATAGAATACAACTAATTTTGTATATTAACATTAATAAGGGTAATAGACATATTTAATATAAAAGTCCAAAATTAAAATTTTTTATCTTATAAAAATGGAAGAAAAAAAAATATATCTTCAACATTGAAAAAATATAATTATTTTCGCATCTTCGGAAGTCTTTAAACATCACTTCCTCAGAAGGTTAAAAAATTCACTTATACTTTTTGGGTTTTTATGGTTAGAGTTAAATTTGAGCAAATAACAGCAAATAAATTTTTAACCAAGAGACCAAAGTATACTTTTAAAAGGATTAAGCCTCAGAATTTTTTCGTCACATGTGAGATTTGATATATCGTGTCCTGAATTTTTTAAAAATGCAATTTTTGGTCCTTTTTGAGGCGTTATAATCGCTCAAAGACAGCTTTATTTATAAAGTTTTGTAAGCCATCTGAAAGTCAATTCTATCTGCTTTAAAAAATTGGCTCAACATCTTACATATCTCTTTCCTCTTCGAGATATCATCACCTTAAGCTTGATATAACAATAAATTGACAAAAACTGTATTTTTTCATACATTTCACTTTTATTTTACAAAAATCTTGTACATTCAAATTTTTCACATTTTTTCCTATGAAAGTACCTTTTAAAATCTATTGTAGTTGCTGAAATATCATCCGTTGAACTTAAGGGAAGGACAGACATCATTAAGTCGAATCAGAAATTGATTTTGAGTCGATTGGAAAATCGTCAGATAAGTGTATAGGTAGTAGTAGTACAGGTAATAGTAGTACAGGGTATAAAAATCATGAATATACTAAAAACCAAAAATCAAACTATAGGTAAAGATATCTAGAAGAAGAAAGAAAATATATATTTTAAAGTTAATAGAATGGACTTTCAACATTTTACAAATAAAGTTGTCTTGGAGACATTTTAACGTGTCAAAAAGTGCCAAAAATTGCGTTTCCTCAAATTTCAGACACGATATTACTAATCTCAGATGTGATGGAGAAAATCTGAGGTCAGATTCGCGATTTTGCGTTCCTCAATCCTTTTAAAACGTCTAACTAGGTCTTAGGATTTCGATTTTTTTTTCAAATTTTAACATTATCTTTCAAAACGGAATCTACGCCCCAAAGTTAAGTTTAGGCGTCTTAGAGAGTAGTTACTTGTAGTTTGTAAAATGAGCGCACGAATAGTTTATTAATCTCTTTAAACTTCTAGCACCTACAAAAGGAGTGGAGTAGGTGCTAGGAGCTCCCTAACTTCAATACCGTTCTGTTGGAATCTCCTATAAAGCTAGCTAAAAATTACATAGAGAACTTTTTTAGAGAAGCAAAATACCACAGCACTACCTTATAGTCTAATCTGTTCTGATAATAAAAAGAACGATTTTCTCATTAAGACAGTGTAACACAAATGCAAAAGTGTTGCAAAATTATTTACAAAACTTCATCGCGTTTGGTGCGGGAACTTTTTTTAAGGTCGCGAAAAAATTATGTCATATTCCTTAACATCCGTTCATTCGCTACAAGGCCTTGCTATGATATTTTTATACCCACCATCAAAAAAGATGGGGGGTATATTGATTTTGTCATTCCGTTTGTAACACATCGAAATATTGATCATAGACCCACAAAAGTATATATATTCTGGGTCCTCATTAAATTCTAAGACGATCTAGCCATGTCTGTCCGTCTGTCCGTCCGTCCGTCTGTCTGTCTGTCTGTTGAAAGCACGATAGAGTCCGAATGGAAAGAGCTAGAGGGTTGAAATTTCACATAAATATTT